CTTTCCCATCTCCTGAGCCCCGGCCACCCCACCAATCCACCCCACCGTTGGCCTTCGAGGTGTCCCTAGTCCCTACACTGCTGGTTTAGTCACCTCTTACTGAGAGGCAAAGAATACTGATCCATCCTATTTAGAGGCTCAGGTGTCTGAAAGTTTAGGCTGTCTCTCACCTTCTCATGGGCCCTTTGGTGATATAAAATGGGGATAAATCAACCACTGGGAGTAGATAACTTAATTTTCTTTCCTTCTTGAAAATGGGAGGAGGAGGTGGTTAAGGACGGAGCCAACAGATGAAAGGATCTATTTTCGACATAGCTGCAATGTGTTAAGTGCTCGTTTTGTGCTGTCCTTTCTGTGCCTTGAGACCTTAATCCTCACTGCAGGCGTGAGAGGCGTGCATCATTATTCTCACTTGACAGATGAGGTCACACGACTGGTAAATGGCAATGCTGGGAACCCACTAGGGGGATCTGACGTTCCAACCCTGTCCCCGTCACCCAGAATGTACAGCTGATACAACTGGACAGAAGAGGTAAGGCAGAAACCGTGCAAAAACAAACCCAAATCTGCTCTGAGTGCTATCAAAACACCACATGCGAATTAGGGGCTTCAATTGTTTTCTGAGCCCCCACCGAGGACTCAGCTGTCTAAAAAGAAAAACAAAACCGAAAGGTGCAATGAGAGAACAGGCAGGAGGCTGTAGCTTTCTCTTGGAAGAGCATCCGGAGAGGCCCACTCACTTTCTATGTCTGGGCTCTGAGAAAATAAAGGTGGCTCTAGGAAAATCTGAAAAGTATGAGAGGGGAAAAAAAAATCCCTTCTGCGGTTTTTACTTTCACCAAGCCTCATTCTGCTATTCGTGTCTTATTTTAAAACTAATGTGGCTCTCTCCACCCTTTAAATTGGCACGTAAATAGTAAAAACAGAAGGAAGGCCAGCTACAAACTTCAAATGCGGTGGGTTTCTCAGGAAGGAGGTACATGACTTGAAGTGGAAATGCGGATCAAATGAGGTGCCTTAAACATTTCAAAGACAGACTTTCCACAAGGAATTTAGATCATAAGCTCTTAGAACAGGAGCTTTGTCTGGGTTTGGGCTCAGTATAGTGTCTAGAATCTTTGAGTGCCCAATAAATGTGGAAAACAAATCACACTTTTCATCTGTGTCTGCATCATCTAACCATCTGGGCCACCACTTGCTTATGGTTTTAGAGTGAGGCTTCTGGGGGATTTTCCTGTCCTCTGGATCTCAGATACACACCCTCCCCCAGACCCCTCACTTCTGCAGAAGTTTGCTCTGGGAATCCAGTCAAGGTGAGGCAATTGTTGATGATGTCATCAGGCTTGGTCACACAGAATGACTGCACACTCTGGAATCACCAACTGGAGGCCTTTCCAAATAAGGAAACCAAGCAGAAGGGGCCTCAGGCGACTTATCCCTTAACAGTTCTCGATCTCTTGCCCAATGTCTTTGAACTAGAAGGATTCCTCTCTTAGCCCCTACAAGAGAGCTCTGGACATCCCAGGCTGCCTCTTATAAAATCCTTGGACTTCTTTGATCTTTTCTCTCTCTGCTCCTTCCCTCATTTTTTCAATGCATTTATTCTACAAACATGCATCAAGAGCCCACTAAGGGTACAGCAGAGAATCTAACATGGGCTTTGAGCTCACATTTCCCCATTCCTACCTAGCTCCTGACCCCATAGCTCCAACTTTCTTGCCTGCAGAGGCCCCACAATATTAAAAGACTTGCTTCGTTTTCCCATTCCTACCTGGCTCTTGACCCCATAGCTCCAGCTTTCATGCAGAGGCCCCACAATATTAAAAGACTTGCTTCAGCAGGTGAGAAGTATTTCACATACATATCTGACATTTTATCAGCCCCTGGCAGCCCCCTGACCCTATAGAGCACCTTGCTGACACCCATTTGGCACAAGTTCTCTGGGCTCTGATATACCCTTAGAAGCAGGACCTGGAGATACTACAGCACTTGTCCACAATCCTTTTCATCCTTCCTAGTCACTCCTTCAGTTCACAAGATCACTGTTGATGACAGAAACAGTTTGGGCCATATTTATGAAACATCTATTACAATAAAAAAAAATCTCATAGTGCCATAATACCCCACTGGTCAAAGGAAATTGTTGGCTTAAATAAACAGTGACTACCTGACAAAGGGATGTGTCAGATAATGCTTATGAATTTTTCAGGTCATTTTTTTAATGGAATCTTGGGAATGAGTGATTCATAAAAATGAGGGGAAGGAAAAACAGTAGGCCTGTTTTAGCTCTCAAGATTCTTCAACTGGAATAGATTTTTACCATAAACACCCTAGAAAAGACAGAAGGCTTCAGGTAAATTGCAAGTGTTTGTCTTTTGGGAAACTATTAATACTAAAGAACCTTGGTCTTGACCCATTCCAAATAAATAAATAAATAAAAGAATTGGACCATAGAATTCAGACTATGTCCCTGGAAATCCCTTTAGAAAGTAGATTCCAAATCAGTACTCTTATTCTTCTTGAATATCCCACCCCCTAAGACTGCCCCATCCTTCCAGATCCAGCATTATTTTCTCTCCTCTTCAGGAAGGCAGCGGCTCCGAGACCAGAAGGATGGAGAGTGAGGAGGACTTTCCCTTACCTGGGTTGCAGAACCACTTGAATCTAGAGAACTCATTGTATGTGTGGTGCATAGGTTTCTGGTAGTGCATTCTCTGGCTGATGTCCAAAGTCTTCAAAGCAGGGGGGCCTGAGATATGCCAAAAGGAACGCCCATCTGTGGAAGAAGAGGGTCCCCCCACCAAGAAGTTCTTGGTGGTCAGTGTCTGCTGGGGTGAAGAGAATTGGAAACCACTGAACATGCCTGCTGGGATCTTTCCAAGCCCTTTTGGGAACCGGCAACAGCTCTT